TTTGCTCTTAACATCATTAATCATTTCTTGATTTGTCATAAAATTACACATAATAGAATTAACAAAAAAATGTCTCCATTCGGGGAAAAATTCGTCAAGCCAAGGCCTTCCCATCAATGGGATGAAGTTATTATCACAGTTCAGTACCAAAAGTTTCAATTTCTTTGAAATGCCCTTAAAATTCACTGAAACATTCGCTTCACCCTCAATTACAAGACTTGTACCATTTACAACTATTAGCTTTTTTTTACTTTTCGTCAAAACCTTCTTAAAATTATCGAAATATTTTTTTTTACTAATGACGGTCACAGACGATCCACAATCCACTTCCATATTAATCATAACATTCTCAATTTCCACATTTACCAGACAAGGTTCACTGATTTTACCAATAGAAGAAACGTGCATACATTGAAGAACATTTGTCTCACCCTCAACATCATTATCACTTTCCGAGTCCGCTCGCATTCTGTTAACCAAATCGCTCAAATATTCATCTGGATTTGTTGCCGAAGCATTTGGATTTACCATATTTACGGCATCCCTGTGCATATTTTTCAATTTAAAACATTTTTTTTTAATATGACCCTTTACACCACAAAAATCACAGACCATCTGCGAATAATCAGGGCGTTGCTCTCTATTATTATTTCTTTTAGTCTGCCATTGTCCACTCCATCTTGGCCTGTCCTGCGATTGTTCGTTCCGCCATTGCCTGTCCTGCGATTCTCCATTCCGCCATTGTCTGTCCCGCCATGTATTTTTCTGATACGGTGTATAACCTAGTCTGTTCTTCACTGATCCCTTATTACGACTAACGCCACCATTATTCATCCTTTGCGCCAAATCCATGGTAGCAGCTAACTTGTCCAATCTAGACCCAGTACTACCTGACGCTTTCAATGCAGCCACCAGATCCATGCCGCTGCTGCAATCCATATTTCTGGCATTATTTCTGGCAATTTCCCAGGTCGCAATAAGGTTCTCCGCAATTTCCAACGTAAGCTTCTCCTCATTTAGCAACCTTTGCTGAAGAGCTTTATCCCGAACCCCAGCAACAATGCGATCTCTAATTGCCGAAGATTTAAAATTGTCAAAATTACAGAATTCAGCTTGCAATTTCACAGACAACACGAAATCCTCCAACGATTCATCCGGTTGCTGCACTCTTACATTAAATTTGAGCCTTTGAACCAAATCTGATTCTATTTTATCAAGTCGGGCCTTTAGCTTAGAAACCATATCGGCATAGGCAATTTCAGCTAAATCACTGTTAGGGTATAGTAGCTTGAGTTCCCTGAAAATTACAGGCCCACTAAGCGTGATGAAATGATCACGCTTGTCCTCTTCAGGAATTTTATTCATATTGAAAAAAAATCCTAGCCTTTCCACCCAATCACTAAAGCAATTACCCTTCCGGTAAGGCTCTAACGTAGTTGTTATATTGGCTTGAGCCATGGTAGCTTTTACTCGCCGAAATTAATACCAGTAATCAATTGAATTAGCACTTTTTCCAAAAAAATTAACTTCCCCAAAAATAAAATGCAGACTCACCAGTGAAGATTGTTCAGCCTTTGCCGTCTAAGTTGAGGTATTTCAACTCGTTGTTCACAGCCCTTCGGCAGCCACACGAGCCGTCAGTTGACGTTGCTTGTTTTTTTTTTTTTTTACTTAGCTCCTATCTGTATCAATCTGGATCCAACGTCGAAAGGATGAACCCAATCAATTAATCTTCGCAATCACCAACTGAACCACCGAAAAATCCTTTCACCTTGATGGCAACCTTCCACAAAATGGCCAAATGTCCTTGTAAAGGACAAACACTTTTGTAACCTATACACGAATAGAAAAAGAACTCTCTTAGAAAAAGAATATAAAGAACTTTTTGTTTCAACCACTTTCTTTTTGTTTTCTTTTTTTTATCATAAAAGGGACAATGAAACACAAGCCAAAAAAAAACTCTTCTGTGTGGCTGAAAAGAGATTAGAGTAAAAATCACCTTTAGCACAAAATGGTGCTAGAATACGCAACGCTATACAATTTTACACTGTATCGCCAAATCACGCAAAAAAAAATTCCCTTTCTCTGCAATACTCACAGCGAGATTTACGGCAAAACTGAGCCGGCAAGGAAACAACTGCAGCGAGCAGTAAATTGGTTGCGAACTTCCCGTCGGCTTTGTATCAGGCGTCCTTTGATGCCACCGCTATATGCTACGGGTAGCTTTATCACCGACGAAGCTTTATTCCACCGCATAAAGTGGAAAACGAGAAAACGGCCGTATTCACCACTAACTTCACTTTATCACTCGTCGTCAACTTTAGTATCTTATACTTATATTGGAGAAAACCGGGACTTTGCGGAGCAAAATAAAAAAAACTCTACTTCGTTTGATGTTTCAGACTGGAATGATCTTCCTCTTTATTTTTCATACGATCAGACCTTGTCGACCTGACCCAACTGTCATACGTAACATCGTATGGTGTTTTCGTTTAACGACATTTATCGTTTGCACTCTAAATTAGAACACATCAGTGGTTTCTGTGTTGCAATTATTTGACAACCGTTATAACATGTTATAACTGCTCAGTCTGGACAGCGCTTAATAGTACGTTCAGACTACAGAGTTATAACATGTTATAGCGCTATCTTGATGGTGGTTTCTGTGTTGCAATTAGTTGACAACCGTTATAACATGTTATAAATCTCCAGTCTGGACAGCGTTTAAGACTAGAAGGTCCCGAAATAACGTGATCAACTTTTTGGCTCAGCTCTGGTACTCTCTTCGGTCCCAAGCTAATCGATTCACCCCTCGAAACATAGGAAAATCCACTAACCCCTCATTTTATCTGTCAAACTTTCATAGCGAATCAAAACAAACATTGTGTAGTAGTAGAATTTCGACTAGAATGGGGTACGTTAATCGATTTGCTTGGGACCAACAGGCTAGTCAAGTAGTGAGCCAATTTAAAATCGTTAGTTTCGTATTGATTGTTGGTTGTGCTACCGTTGTACCAACAATCAATACGAAACTAACGATTTTAAATTGGCTCACCACTTTAGTAGCCTATTGGTCCCAAGCAAACGATTAACGTACCCTATTCTAGTTGAAATTCTATTACTACACTATGTTTGTTTTGATTCGCTATGAAAGTTTGACAGATAACATCAGGGGTGTGTGGATTCATGCAGAACATGCAGGGGTGAGTGAAATAGCTTGGGACTGCTTGGGACCGTTGTTCTGGTACTGAGTGAGCCAAAAATAATAATGATTTTCTTCGGGACCCTGTGGTCTCTATGGAGTTACCTCTATGGTTGTACTTCTTTAAGCTAGTACCTCCAATTGTACCTTTTGATGTATTAGATTAAAGGAGTACAACCAACCGGTGGAAACTAACGATTTTAAATTGGCTCACTACTAAATTACTACTTTCGTGGTCCCAAGCAAATCGATTAACGTACCCCATTCTAGTCGAAATTCTAGAACTACACTATGTTTGTTTTGATTCGCTATGAAAGTTTGACACATAAAATGGGGGGTTCGTGGATTTTCCTATGTTTCGAGGGGTGCATCGATTAGCTTGGGACCGAAGATAGTACCAGAGCTGAGCCAAAAGGTTGAGCTCGTTTCTTCGGGACCTTCTGGTCTTAGAATTACCTCTATGGTATCATGGCCACCTGCAAACACTGGTTCAATTCCTGGCCCGCCACCGTCAGCCGCTCGAAAAGCTCCTCCATTTCGAACACGTGTGCCGTTCGATGTCCTCGCCATCAGAATATCTTTTATCGCAAATCCTCTTGAGTAGCGACACCTTCGAGGTTTGTGATGCCTTCTCATAGTATTCTCTCGACAGGTCTCCATGTTTCCTCAAGCAAGAGGTCAATTGTCGCACGCGCCTTCTGGACTCCGCTGTCCCACTGCTGCTACATCGGCTGGTCTGCACTGAGTTCTGGTCGTTTCCCGGTTACGTATTTCCAGATGTTGTCCCGGATCAGCAGGAATTCTACTTTCGTTTTCCATGTTGAATAATTGGATCCATTAAGCATGATAATAATGCCCAATCGTTCCATTTCGCTTTGATATTTGAATTTATTCAATCTTCAAAAAAGTTCTTGAAAAATGAACTTGAAAATTTTCACTCTTCTATAACTTCTTGGAAGGATGAATAAAGACAACCGTAGGTGTCGAGTGACCAATGTAAACAATTGGTTTATTAATATCAATTTACTATCCAGACTTCTGTGATTGAACTCTTCCAGCTTTCTCCTTAAATAAGAAGACATATTTCAAGCGTAACTATTCAAATCGACGTATCTGATTTTGTAAACAATCACTTCAATCGACGATTTCATGGCAGCTGCTAGCTCACTTACAGAAACTAACAACAACAGTTAGTAGCCCTACCTGATGATGGTTTTTGTTTGCGTGGGTGAGTTAGCGGTTAAGACAAACCTTCGATTGAAGTGATTGTTTACAAAAGCAGATACGTCGATTTGAATGGTTACGCTTGATTTGAAGATTTGCTTTTACTGTTAAGAACATGGTTTCCAAAAAAACATTCTGCTTCATATCCGTCGCTCCACAACGCTCCCGACTCCGATTCCGTGCTAATAGATGTTTTGCAAATACTCAGCGTGGTAACTATCTCTAGCAGGTCGCAAAATTGTTTGTAAATAAACAATTCCGTCCCGTCGAAAACGCAAGTGCAAGAGTCATGAGATAGCCGGCAGAACGATAAGCACTAATTATAGTATCAATACGCTACATTGCTAGCACCCTTTGGAACGAATTAAGCCTTATCATTCATGCGGTACATGCTGCTCCCGTTTAAATCCCGCAACGCAAACAAAACAATCATGCAGAGAGCCGTCCAACGATTGAAAATTTTTTGCAAACTTCTCTCGGTCATTCCCAGTTCTCGCTGATTACCGGCAGCGATGCTGTTCTTATCAATTCAAAATGTACATACTGGTGGCCAGAATCTCTCCCGTCACACGCGAAGCTCATCTCGTCAGTACCGTCCCGGCATTCGCGCGTGATGGATTGGCTAACGATCGTTCTACTGTCGATTCTGGCCCTCGTGGCCACCTACGAAGTCTATCTCCGTCTGCTGCCGAGCAATCGAGCTGCCAAGCAGTTCCCCGGGCCTCGTCGATTGCCCGTGCTCGGGAATGCCCTGAGCTTGCTGTTCAACGACCAGGTCAGCACCTTCCTGCTACCACGCCGTTGGGCTCAGCAATACAACGCCTCGTACAGGATCGTCGTCCGCGGTGGATTCATCGTCAACGCAATTCGAGCTCGGGAAACCGAAGCTCTGCTATCCAGCACGAAGCTGATCGACAAGAGTCTGATCTACAAGTTCCTTTATCCGTTTATGGGCGTTGGACTGCTGAACAGTACCGGCCAGAAGTGGTTCCACCGGAGGAAGATCCTAACGGCAGCGTTCCACTTCAACATCTTGCCGAAGTTCCTGGTCACTTTCCAGGAGGAATGCGACAAACTGCTGCGCAAGTTGGACGCGGATGCCGGCCAAGGCAACACGACTACCCTGCAGTCGCTGGCGGCACGCTTCACGTTGAACACAATTTGCGGTAGTTGAATGTTTATAGCTTGTTACTTAATCGATGACCATTTTCTAAATATTGTTCTGTAGAAACGGCCATGGGGGTAAAACTGGATTCGATGTCGATGGCTGACGAGTATCGGGCCAAGATTCAGGAGGTGGTTAAGTTGCTGCTTCTGCGCGTCATGAATCCCTGGTTGGTCGAGGACTTCACCTACCGGATATTCGGCTTCAAAGCCCGACTGGACAAGATCCTCAAACCAATACATGCCTTCACCAGGAGCATCATCAAACAGCGAAGGGAGCTGTTTCATGCGAACGTGAAGAATTTGGATGACTTTTCCGAAGAGAACATCTACCTGAACACCAATCAACGATACGCCTTGCTGGACACTTTGTTGGCGAGTGAAGCGAAGGATCAAATCGACGAGGAAGGCATTCGGGAAGAGGTGGATACGTTCATGTTCGAAGGTCACGATACGACGGCTTCGGCGTTCACGTTCATCTTTCTCGTAATCGCTAACCACCAGAACGCCCAGCAGCAGCTGTTCGAGGAAATTGAAGCGATGATCGAGAGTAGAGTTGACCCTCGCGATTCGCCATTCGACATCAAAGATTACAACGATCTCAAGTACATGGATCGAGTGATCAAGGAGTGTCTACGGCTATATCCGCCCGTACCGTTCATAAGCCGAGCGGTAGTGGACGATGCATGGTTCGGCGACCGGTTCATCCCGAAGGATTCGATGGCTAATGTGCACATTTACGATCTCCATCGGGATCCGGAGCAGTTTCCCGATCCGGAGCGGTTCGACCCGGATCGGTTTCTGCCGGAGCAGGTGGAACGGAGGAACCCGTATGCGTACGTGCCGTTCAGTGCCGGGCCGAGGAATTGTATCGGTAAGAGGTGGGAGGGTGGGAGTAGTCCAGTGTGATTTAATCGATTTCAGGCAAAACCGACAAAACAAATCATGGTTATTTTCAGAGAAGAACGTGCGAAGAGCTTTTGAGTGGGTTGAGTTATTTCCTTTTAATTCCATTAATCTTTCGACAGATACGCGTATTTCAAATGTGCACGGTGAATGAGAACGACCCAAATTTGAGTGTAGTTCGCTCCTAATCGCCAAAAGTGCAGGATGAGTAAATTTGCCTCATGTTTTCCTGTGGGAAACCTCAAAAATATTCCGGAAAATGAGGAAAATTTACGAAAATTTTAGTCAGTCTATGAGTTGTACCAATAGACTGAGTAAATCCAATCTTTACTTTTCTCATATTCGGGAAGTTTTTTCTGAACAAATTTGGAAAAACATGAGGCAAATTTGCTTTTCGCTGAGTTCTGCACTTTATGTGATATATGAGTTATCTAAACTCAAATTTGGGTCGTTCTCATTCGCCGTGCAGCTCTGTACCGAATAATCCAATCAATTAGTTCCGAACCATTCGCTTTTCTTTTGCGAGTGGCCACTTTTAGGGGATCAGGCTCACGATTTACGCTCTCCCAGAACATAACAGGTTTTTGCATCAGATTGAGTGAGTGCTCAACTTCCGAGCTGAACAGATGCGTTTTTGCCATCGCTCGTGGAAGTCGAATTAATTTCCAGTGTTAACTGTGTTTTTTTTTCGTATTCTGCTCATCGCTGAGCCGTTTTTTCGTGTCGCTGCGCGTCCAAACGACTCCGCCGTCGAGAAAATACCTTTCGAATAGATTTTTCGAATGTGCCGAAGAAACCGGACCTTGCCAAAGTCCACAATTTCTGTGCGACCGTTCTTGGTCTGAAACAAGGTGAAGTGCTACGTATACAGAACAGCAGAGCCCTCGGTGTTTCGTTCGTGAAAGTTGTCAACCTAGAGTTGGCGCAACGAATCTGCGAGGAACATGACAACCAACACAACATTACCGTCGACGGAAAAAAATATCCGCTAAGCATCACGCTGGAGGATGGAGCAGTGGAGGTGAGGCTCTTCGAGGTGTCGGACCAAAAAAAAATCGTCGGTTTTTGTGGAAGGTATGGTGACGTCATATTAGTACGAGAGCAACGATGTGGAGCCTATATTGATTTCCCTGGTATTTCGACCGGCGTCTGCATAGCAAAAATGAAAGTAAATCGTAACATCGAGTCGTGGGTCACCATCGACGGTGAAGTGACGAATATATCGTATTTCGGGCAGCTACAAACATGCCGACACTGCGGCGAATACATCCACATCGGTGCTACTTGCGTGCAGAATGAAAAGTCGTACGCCCATGCCGCAAAGCATATGCCTTCACAAAAAACATCTCAAGCCGACTATAGAGATTTTCACGTCCGGTTGTATTGGTGCGATATGTGAGAGCGTGTTAGTGAATATCCGAGGAAAATACATAACAAATCGATGTCAAACTCATTTTGACAAATCTACTTTCATACATTTTTTAGGTTAGCCAGAGGAAAATAATAAACAACTTTACACGGCGAACCAAACCAACACACACTCTAACCAAATCTCTCCCAGTGCGAATTTAAACAAAACAACTTCGAACCAAGCTGCACGACCCCGGTTCGAACCAAACTCGGTCAACCCGGCTACCATGCCACCACCGAAGCAAGTTCCCCAGCAACAACAGAACTTGTTACCACCGATGCGCAACGAACAGAATTTCCCCACGCTAACCTCTACCTCGGCTTCGATTCCCCCATCGGACAGCGGGTCGTTGACTCCCTCTACAGGTCAACAGCCCCCCTGCTAGCAGCGGAGTGGATCGCAAAACTGCTAGTGGCAAGTCCGATGGCAACGAAACAGATTCGTCTGTCGGCTCATCCAGCTCAAGAAGGCATCTCCGCAATCGACCACCAGGCAAGAAGCCTCGGGTGGAGGACGACTGCGACGACAAGCTCCCATAACCAACTGTCGTAATGGCTGAGTTCTCCAGTTACAACCTCGCCTCCATCAACATCAACAATATCACGAACGGAACGAAAATTGACTCTCTTCGGACCTTTGTACGAAAGCTGGAGCTGGATATCGTTTTTCTCCAGGAGGTGAGGTGGAGAATGATCAGCTCTCTCTCCCTGGCTTCAACATTGTCTGCATACGTTACGCACAATGCGGCATCCAGGCTCGATCGCATGTATGTAACCTATGGGCTTTGCGAGCATCTGCGAAGTGCTGCCACACACGTATGTTCGTTCACAGACCACAAAGCTCTTACAGCGCGAATTCGCCTTCCCCACCTCGGTCGTGAACAAGGACGTGGATCATGGTCTCTCCGTCCTCATCTTTTGACTGCCGAAAACATCGATGATTTCCAAGTCCGGTGGCAGTTTTGGACCCGCCAACGGAGGAATTTCCCCAGCTGGATGGCATAGTGGATCTCATACTTACTTACTTACTTAAGGGTCCTGTGCACCACCAGCGGTGCAAAGGGCCAACGTGAAAGACTTCCATCCTGGGCGGCTGCTCGCTTTTGCCTTGACCTGGGCCCAGGTCAGATTCCTATCGACTTGCTTAATTTCCTTATTGAGGCTCCGCCACCATGAGCCCCTGGGTCTGCCTCTGCTGCGATGTCCTGCCGGATTCCAATCCAGCGCTTGCTTACAGATTTCGTTTCCGCCCCGTCGAAGTGTGTGGCCGACCCACCTCCACTTTCGCTCTCGAATTTCTGTTGCTATCGGCTTCTGATGACATCGACGATGGAGCTCGGCATTCGAGATCCAGTTGTGAGGCCACCAGGTACGAATTATATACCGCAGGCATCGGTTGATGAAGACCTTCAGCTTTTGAGTGTTCTCCGCTGATACACACCACGTCTCGCTGGCGTATAACAACACAGATTTCACGTTCGAGTTGAAAATTTGGATTTTGGTGAGTTGACTTATCTGGTTGGGTCTCCATACGTTTCGTAAACTCGCAAAAGCAGCCCTAGCCTTCTTGATTCGTGCACCTATGTCGCTGTCCCGCCGTCCGACGCTATTTGGCTGCCAAGATATTGGAAATTTTCGACTTTCTCCACTGCTTGCCCCGCTACCGTAAAGTTGGAAGGGTTGCCCGTGTTGATATCCAACGATTTGGTCTTGTTGACGTTGATGGTGAGACCCGCCGCAGAGGAGCGTTCGGCTAGGACATTGAGCTTACTCTGCATATCAGAGCGCCGTTGTGATCAGCCAAATCGAAGTCGTTGAAATGCTCCATGGTGATAGGCTGCCAAAGCAGCCCACGGTTCGGTACACGGTCAATTGCACCTACCATGATCTCGTCGATTACGATGAGAAACAGTAGCGGTGATAGTATACATCCTTGTCTCACACCAGCGACTACCCGGATAGGGTCGGACAAGGCTCCGTTATGCAGAACTCTGCACGTGAAAGCCTCATACTGCGCTTCGATGAGGTTGACGATTTTATCCGGGACTCCCTTGCGTCTCAGGGCGCCCCACAGATTCTCTTGATTGAGACGGTCGAAAGCTTTTCCGTAGTCAATGAATACCAAATAAAGGGACTCTTGGAATTCATTGACCTGCTCCAGGATGATGCGGAGCGTGACAATATGGTCCACACAAGATCTTCCGGCACGGAATCCTGCCTACTGCCGTTGGAGAGTCGCGTCGATCTTCTCCTGTATCCGATTCAGGATAACTTTGCACAGAACTTTGAGAACAATACACAGTAACATGATGCCTCGCCAACTGTCGCACACAGTCAGATCCCCCTTCTTTGGGACCTTCACTAAGATGCCCTGCATCCAGTCGGCCGGAAAAGTTGCGGTGTCCCAGATATTACAGAATAGTTGATGCAACATTTGTGCGGATAGCATGGGGTCAGCTTTGAGCATCTCTGCTGATATGCGATCGACCCCTGGAGCCTTGTTGGATTTCATGCTTCGGATAGCTGCTTCAATCTCCTGCAGTGATGGAGCCTCGGAATTGACGCGAGTGATGCGCCGCACCCTAGGCGGATCATGCCGAGATGTTGATGGCTGGTTGGCCGTCGAAACTTGAAGAAGTTGTTCGAAGTGCTCAAACCAGCGTTTCAGCTGGTCAGTGGGGTCGGTAAGCAATTGTCCAGTCGTGTCCTTCACTGGCATCCTCGGGTTCATCCTTGCTCCACTCAGGCGTCGTGAGATATCGTAGAGGAGGCGTATATCGCCAGTGTTTGCGGTTTTCTCCCCTTCGTCGGCCAGGGAGTTCACCCACGCTCGCTTGTCCCGTCTGCAAGAGCGCTTGACTTCCTTCTCTAGAGCCGAGTACCGTTGACGGGCTTCGTTCTTGGCTCCTCTGGTTCTCGCCCGCTCTATCGCGGCTTTTGCTTCTCTACGCTCCTCAATCTTCCGTCAGGTTTCATCTGTGATCCACTCTTTCCTCTGTGTGCGCAGCTCACCCAAGTTGTTCTCGCTTGTTTCTATAAAGGCATTCTTGATGGCCGTCCATTGTTCTTCTACGCTGCCACCTTCAGGAACGTCCGCAGCTCGAGTCTCAAGTTCTTCAACAAAAGACCTTTTTACCGCTGGATCTTCAAGTCGGTGTGTGTTGAACCGCCGCCCGAGTCTCTCCTCCCGTCGCTGGATCCGCGCCATGCGTTGGCGGATTTCACCGATTAGAAGGTGATGGTCAGACGCGATGTCGGCGCTGCGTTCATTCCGAACATCAAGAAGACTCCGTCTCCATTTTCGGCTGATGCAGATGTGGTCGATCTGATTTTCGGTATGTCCATCGCGGGAAACCGACGTGACTTTGTGCACTGGCCGATAGGGGAAAAGCGAGCCCCCGATCACCATGTCGTTATTGCCACAAAATTCTGCAAACAGCTCACCGTTCTCGCTCATTTCGCCGAGACCATGGCGTCCGATGACACGCTCATAGTCCGTGTTGTCGGAGCCGATCTTCGCATTGAAGTCGCCAGTGTAGATCTTGATGTCACACTTTG